AGGATCTAAGCTGATTCATGTAAGCTGGACTGAAATGATTTGCAGAAACAGATCGCCTTAAACCATTTAAGTTTATTAACTTACTTTACTGAGTTGAATAGAAAAATACATCTTAGCACTTTTCAATATTTTTGTTAAGGTGATATGGGTATTATATTCTAATATACTGTTTTCACATCAGTTTTTCTTCCTCATTAAAAGTAAGTTGTTCCTTTTTATGTATAAGTTATTGATACACAAATAGTTTAGACTAATCCATAGTGTTCAGTTGAAAATCCAAAATGTGTTACACTATTTGAGTTTTATTTTCCAAAATAATGAGTTTTAAGTACGGAGTTTATTTCATGACTTATAACCTTTTGGCTGACAGTGTTGGTCTCGGGGTGGATGGTTGCTAGAATTGGCCTACTGGGATGAATATCCAGGAGTTTCTGATCCTGCTGTTCCATGATTCAAGCTGTTCTCAGAAAAACACAGTTTCATTGTTTAGTTTTTGAATTATTCAGAATGAGAAGCAGAGCGTTCAGTTAAATGTTCTAGTTAGGTTAGAATTTCAGTTTTCTTTGTCTGGTACAAGAGAGGGGCAACTAGCTGAGATTGAATGAGAGGAGAGGATTCAAAAGGAGCTGATATGGATGAGAAACATGAGCTGTTGGATGATAACAGAACCAGCTGGCAGTCTGTGTCTCCTGCAGGCATCTGATTAAAGAAAAACAGGTTCTAGAAGTTAACAGCATTTGTGAACTTTGGACGCCACAGACTGTCCAACTTTATAACACGCATTCCAGTAAACTTGTTGTTCCACTTTAAGATAACAGTTAGTTTAACTTATGGGAGTTGGAGGGCGGTAAAGCTGTGCTCCACCTGTTGACTGCTCTGTTTCTATACAGAACAGTGAGTCCTTAAAGTCATTTAATTTTATGGAAATATGAAGTTTTATTTCAGAATCAAATAAGTTAGTTTTTCATTTCCAATGAATCCTGTTTTTGAAGTAGTAGGGAAGTCATATTTAAATTTCAAATCATTCTGGCTTTAACATGTATATAAATGTATTCTTTATCAGACCATATTGTCCCAAAAGTTAGAAAATTTCTATTTAGAAAAAAATCCTGTCTTAAAATCAGTTTTTTTTTTCCTGTTATCTTCTGCAGGCCAGTTAGTTCTATGTCAGCTTGTACACCTAAAATCGACCAATCATATATCAACGGCAACTGTCAATCAAATTTTTCAGTCAAAGCATCTTGATTCATATGTCGCAGCTAATATACGCAACGGTTGAAATAACAATCATTTACTTTTCCATGGAGTTCCGTCCCAGTGTTCACGGGGATGGACGTCTGTGTCTTTGGCGTTGAGCTCAGTAGGGTTAAACAAGCGCACCCTTTCTTAGGCTGTCGTTCTATTGGCTGGAAAGGTTGCTAGACGACGATCCGACTGCAATCTGAGAGAGAGCAAAAAAAAACGGAAGCAGAGCCTACAGG